CAGCAGGAAAAGTTTGAGATTGGAAAGTGATCTCTACACAGTGAAAAAGCAGTGGCATTGAATCCAAAGACAGTATTGACTGTTTACATGCATTTGTAGAAGGTGAGCTGAAATCCAATTCAGATAATTAAATAAGTACACAAATAAAAACTAAAAAAGGGCTGGCTCCAGTACATGGCAGCTAAAATTCCCCTACATTTTGTGTCTGGTGCACTGACTCTGATGTCTTATAAGGCTCTGATCTTAAGAGGATGCTCATGCATTTCAAAGATTGTAGCCTCTATCCACACAAGTTCTCCTACAGAAATCCAGTGAGAAGATCAAAAGCAGGGATTATTTTTACCTGTCTGTTAAGATGTTTGAAGTTAAGCCAGAATGGGAGTAAAAAAAATTTGATTGTAAAATAATAATTTGACAAGCGTGAACAGACCTTCGCTAGTGATGTGCTTTCAAAAGCTGCCATTATATGAATGGCATCTAATACAACACCAAATCATTTCCAGATTCCACATCCTACTCCATGAATCTGTTTCACTTTAGGAATTAAAGTCACTTACTAAAACTCTCTCCAGAGCACTGAAATATCTTAACTGCAAAAGTCAGCACCTTGAAATAATCACTTATTACTATGTTGAGTGCAAAGCTGTTACCACGGTCCAAATGAAGACACGACTGAAAATACCAGGAGCTAACAGGGCTGTCTCAGTTCTTACCACAGGTAACAGAGAGAGCATCATGCTATGGAGAAGGTAAGAAATCCTGAAGATGCAATTCCTGTGACAACAAACAGTACTGTGCTGATGAAAGGAAAGTGAAGAATAAAAAAAGCTGGATTGGAAGGAGTCATGAAAAAAGTGTAACAAATACCTTGACTCTTGAATTTCTGCAAGGTGTCATGGTTTTCAATTGTCTGTTGAGGGAAGACAAAAGTGGTGTAATAGGTGCAAGGAGCAGAAAAACACTGCAGTAGCAATAATTTAACAGCAAAGCTTGCTTAAAAAATTGATCTCCTCTAAATGTTTTGGGTCTTTTTTGTTTGTTTTTTTTTTTTTTTTTTAAGTGAAGTGTTTTCAAAATGTATTCAAAAATTCCTTCAGAACTGTTTTATCAATCATTTAGATTTAAGGAACTCACATCTTGTTGAACTGAACTGGAATTTGTGAGTCCTTAAGGGATTTCCTACACTTAAAACAACCCAGTAATAACTAGGCATTCAAGTTGCATTAAAAATAACTGAGATGCAAGCATAGTCTAAATTTCACAAAATAATTAGAAACCAAAATTGATAAAGGACTCGAGTTTATCACACTGTTGCCATTAATGTTACAGTGCCAGCACAATTAATGGCAGTCGGGAAAGGGAAACAACCTCTTACATCCTTTGGTTCAGCTAGGGTATAGGACCCTTCCTATCAGTGCACATAGGGATCAAGCCAAATGCTTCTCTCAAGCTTCAACAACAAACTGCCAGGAACTAAACGCAGTTCTCATATGCTATCACTTGCTCCTCAGCTAAGAACAGAACTAACTAAACTCAACTTTCAGACCCAAACTGAAAGCTGTTTTGTTTTTTTTTTCTTTTGTTTGTTTGTTCTTTGTAAATGTTTTGGCTAGTAAAATAACCCTACTTAGCAGAGACAGAAGAAAAATTTAAATAAACTGATTAATTCTGTTCTGCAGTTGCTCATCAGGATAAAAGTAACCCAAGTCTACCAATCCAAAATAGAAGTGATCATCTTAACCCAAAATAGGGAAAATAATATGTACAAATAGTGTCCTTAAAGTTTCCTGATCAACAGAAACTGGCTTTTACAAATAGTACTTTTTTTTTTTGATACTGTACAAACCAGCATGAATGAATGTAAGAAGCCCACGTAAATTCACGTGCCCAGAATATTTACAGTTTTGTAGACGACACGCTGGGATTTCATTCAAACAGCTCAAATAGGCTTAAACTCACAGGCTTAAATGCACAGGCTTAAACTATCTTCTGTAGAAAGTAGAAGAAAAAACTCAACACCTCAACACACTTTCCTTAGTTAAGAATTTGTTTTGGTTATGTAAATATTTGTCATGCAAAAACTTTTGGAAAAGGATTTGAATGAACCTTAGGAAAACAAGCAAACAAAATAAAGATCAGAAAAGGCCAAGGCAGTCTGACATCAGAACAAAGCCTCTTTAACGGAAAAAGGAAAAATCAGCCAAGTAGAGCTGACAATGTGAGAGCTGCATTTCCGATAGACTGCTCTGAGGCAGGCACAGAGTCAGAGCCCAGAACAGCTTTTAAACAGGATTAATTGTGGAAGCATCAAACAAAAGCCATAAGGCACAACAAGCCAGTACAATACACTGCATTCAGAGAAACACAAAAAGTACGCAGCCATGGACATGGAACCATTTGCTGATGCCAGGAGGCTCACCATGTTTTCTTGCTTTTGTCGTAACTGTAAAGTCAAGTCACTCAACATTTGGCTGAGGGTTGCCCGCACAGCGGTGTTAATGCTCCGCTGGTGACAGCTAGATACATATGTCTCAATGCAAACCTGATAAGGAAACAAGATAGCAGTACACAGATATGAACTGTAACTTACCAGTAACACATTTTAGGAGGATACCAAGGTCTCTCGTATGCAGAGTGTCAGCCTTCCTTAGTATTTCCTATTGCTTTATTACATCAGAAGTTTTCAGCAATATGGAAAACTAAGTAGCACTGAGTAAGCAGCAGCATGAAATTCATCAGTCTCACAGCTGCAGGAATGGTAAGGCAAAACTGGCAAAGTCTTCTGTCAAAACCAAGTGATTCTGGCACTTGTCTTTGCTCTGTCGACAATTCACTAAATGCTTCTTCAATTGCTCATTTCTACGTACTTGCAACTCTCACTCTGCAAGTCTGTAACTGAAATGTAAATATCTCCAATTCCTTAAGGTTGTTGCTTCTGTTGCACAGGTATTTGCCATTTTTTCTATAATTATTACACAGAGGCACCTCTGGAAGCTTTTGAAGGCCTCTCCTACTACAGCAAATACAACAGTGATTTACCATAAATAACACAATTGATGGTCTGTTAATAGCTGGCAATCAAGATGAGGGCTCCTCAGCTCAGAGATCCCCTGGGAGCCAAGGCAGCAACAGAAGAACACTGATGGATCATCCTGTTCCCAGCTGCGGGTAGTTTTTTGACACTGTGCTGAGAGCAGAGCTGCCTTTCACTTTTGCCCCACATGATGTTGCAAAAATAGTTGCCAAAGTATAACACAGCTCAGATCCTGGGGACAGCACACCCCAAAATGCAGCTTCTATCCTTGATCAGATTTTCTGTGGGAGGTGCTGGTCGCTGTGAGAGCTGCTGTAACTGTAGTAACCACTGTAACTATGGCACAGTAACCACTAAGTGGATAACAGCCTTGATGGAGCTGAGTGGGTTTGTAACAGAACTGTACAACATAATCTTCTCAGATTGTGATCCAAAGAAGCAGTTTTGGTCCTTTGGCCTACAGTGAGCTTGATCATTAACAATGACAGAAAGAAAAAAAAATAAAAGGAAGAAGACTGTTCACATACTTTTCAGTCTTTGCATTTTTATTCTGCCATTGTTTGGACATACAGCTAGTGAGAAGAACCATGAATATAAACTAGCTGTGAAGAAAAAAAAAGAATAAATGTGGTATATTTTTTCATATGCATGAGGAGTACCTATAAATGCTTTTGGTGCATGTTTTAAGCCATTTTTATAGTTCCCTAACAAGGATGAATTTTTAAGAGGGAATAATTAATCTGATTAGATAGGCTAATCAGTATTGACACATGGAAAAGATTCTTGATTGTTTCTAACTGCAACTGAAATGAAACTAAGCTATTCCGTTGAGTTAGAAAAGCAGGCTGTGGGCTCAAAGCTATAAAGTTTAAGACAAATATGTTGCTGACACACCTGGATTTATTAGAGTGGAGTAGAAAACGTAGGTATGTTCCTAAAACCTTTTTCACCTCCTCACTTTGGGTGATCCCATATTTCATCATTTCAATACAGTCACAAACACAATAAAACATGACAGTGTTTCTTTTATATAAACTGTATCTTGAGTGATCTAAGATATCACACGTGGAAACTACTTAATTATGGCTCTTGACTTATTTTATCTTATTTTGCAGCTACACTAAGAGATCTAATTTCAAGTGAATGTGTATAACTCATCTCATGCTAGAAACACTATGCAAATGAAAAAGTGAGACTGATCATCTCCTTTGACAATATGCTAGAGCAGGTTACTGTTGCACACAGCTGCAGGATATAAAGGACCAAACTGACATCATATCTCATTCTTGTTGTCATTTTTCAAGATTCCAAGATCCCCTCCAAATAAAGAAGATATTTTCTTTAGCTTGAGATTAATCGGTGTTGAAGATGGTCTTGCATGTTAAAAGAAGGCATGGATCAACTCTGCCTATCATTCAGCTATCACCTGAACTGCAGTGGACAAAACCTCCTAAAGCCTGTTAATCACCTGCAGCCCTTCACAGAGGCCAAACCATTCCAGTGCTGCTGAGATCATGCTCTTGAGCCATAAGCCTTTTTCTAGAGCACCTGAATTAATTGATGAATAAACATTCTTAGAGGTAGGCTGACTTTCTGGAGAGAGCATGGTTGATATCTCCCTCTTCTCTCCCCTCCCCATGTCAGCTAATGAGCAACAGTACTGTCTGCTTGAGCTCTGATCTTACAGAAGGCCTGCGTTCTAAAATGGCTGGGCAAGGTACCTTTTGAAAAGCCATTGATGAAGAAGCACCAGTAAAAATGCGAGAGCTCAAGGCCCCAAGGAGGTGTGCAATGGACATTTTGATCATTTCATGCATTCGTGGACTTCCAGCTCTATTGCATGCAAAACACAACTAAGAGCAAAATACAGAAGGGTTAACCAATGAAACACAACAGAGTCAAACAAAACAAACCTCCAAAAGGTAGATGCCAATAACAAATACACACATAAGAACAAGAAACAGCACGGTCTAAATTTTCTTGCAGGGGACTAGGCAAGCATGGGAAGGTACACAGAGCAAGATTTAGTCCGTTTACAATACTATTAATACTTAAGCCAAAAAATATAGTACCCTTCATGTGAGATGCTTCCTTTATTTGAAGCTGATAACATTTAGAAAGATTTGAGGTACCATTGTTTTGTACACATGAATTCAGAATAATCAGGTAGCGCAAAATGGCCAGACTATAGCTGTGTTTGTCAGAAAGAGTCCTCAGAGTTCTGCCAGTAACGCAGCCAGCACCTTTCCAATTCTGCACTGGCTCTGCTTTGCTACAGAGGGCAGGCTAGGAAAACTTAATGGACTGACTTGGAAAGAAATGCCAAACAGCAGGGGCACTGGAGCAGAAAGCTCCTCTCTGCCACCCTTCTCTTAGGGAAATAATTTTCTGTTTCCTACTGCTTATACACTGTAGAATTAGGATACAAATGCATATTGATGCCAGTTGTTAAAATCTTTACCTAGAAGATTTTGCTCTTTACCTAATCCTTACCTAAACTTTACCTAAAATCTGGCCAGGAGAAACCTGAGGAAGCATGCATGTACCTGGTGGGACCTGCTAATTAGACTAATTTTCACTAATTTACTAATGCAGTATTTTCTCAAGGTGAGTGGAGGAAATAGCTGTACCTCTAAACACTCTAAATAGCAGCATGTGTCCTCTGTATTACAGCTTGCTCCAATTCCTTGAAGGAAATTAAAGTTTTGTTTGCTTTTCTGGCACATCTCATCAGTCTGCATCAGACCTCCTGTTCACTTTAACAGAAGGACAAACTATCTCTGTGCTAATTTGTACCACTATACTAGCACAAGTTTTTAAGAGCCAGGCTACTCTCTTTTGGGAATGAAAGTGAAGTGCAGCTATCAAGAACAGCAGAGTTTAACTCCAGTCTAGGAAAGAAAATGGGCATTTTTCAGGATGCTTTAAATGAGTAACAGCCCTGTTGTTAGCCAAATTATTTATAGAGAGCACAGAAAATATGATTTCTGATATATTGTTATAGAAAACAGAGTATACTGGCTATTTTCCCCCCAGTCTTAGGCAGTGCTCTTAAAGACTGAAATCTGAAGGGTACAGAGCCATTAAATACTTTTACCAGCAAGCATTTACACAACAAAAGATTCACTAAGCTGAATTCACCAGCTTTTGCCTCACATGTTAGAAAGTCCGCTGAGAAAAAGTGCAGCAGGGGAAACTATCTGTATTCTCTTTAGTTCAGGACACTGACATAAAAAAGGTTTAGTAAAACTTTAAAAGTTGTGGCTTGTTCTCATTACCAGTTCAGTTCATCCTTACCGATACATCTACAGGCAGGGCTTACAAAGATCCCCCAAAAACTGTATGTTATGGTCTCACATAGCTCAAGAGAACCAAGGTCTAAGCTCTGCAGGACATCTGGACTGATCACTAATTTTCTTTATCCTGTATATGTTATAAACACAAACTGTTTATGTTGTATCCCTGCCTTTTAAAGCCTATTTGTTACAAACTGACAGATGTTTTCTTTGGTTCCCTGTTATCCCTACAACCATTCTCAGCTTCCAATACAATGTAACATTGATGGTACAATGTAACAACAATGTTTTTGCCTAAACTTAGAAAACACTGTAACTTTCAGGTAAAGTAAGATGTTTCCACATGGGATTTTTTTCCACCAAAAAAACCAAAAATCCCACACTCAAAATACCAAAACCTGGGAAGGAGTATGTCTTTAAATGTCTACTTACACTTGGAGTGTGGGATGTGTATACAACATTTACATTGCCCCATGGATGTTAGCTCTCCCAATACCACATTAACAGTATAATGCTATAACACATTCTGCACACCACAGTGTGTGCTGCACAGGAAGACTACGTGTTCTTGTGCATCCTCTCGAGTCTGAACAAACAGTGTATAGCAAACCACAGGGCTGTACTAAACATATCCCCTATTTACAAAGACTCATTTAATAGACCTGAAGGTATGTTTTTCTATAGTCAAAGCTCCTTTACAACTTAATTCAGATTAAAATCTAATGGAATAAAGAGAGAAGAGTGACTAACAGCATCAGGACACCACCACATATCTAGAGGTGTAATGAATCTTTTCTTTGGCTGCATTAGGAAAAAAATCTAACACACAAGGCTAACAAGGCACAATGTTAGCGCTTGTGCTAGCAAAGCACATTATGGCCTACACTCCTCTCTTGAGGAAACTTCATTAGGTTTAGACTTCCACCGGTGAAGGAATCAGCACAGTGCTGTTTTACAAAGAACTCAGAGAAATTTTTCTATTGCAAAAGGCAAAGTAAATCTGTGGAGGAGTAAATATGCAAGACTGTAATATACAACTGTCAGTTTCCAGAAGTGCCTTCCCATGCGAGCCCATCAACCCTTCCCAACATGCAACTATTTCTTCACACTAGATATAAAGCAATATCAGTCCCTAATATAGTAATTGTAATTTTGGACTAGTTCAGTTTCAAGGTATGTATGGAAGACACACCTCTAGGTAGCAGGGGAATGTAAAGTGATGCAACCAGTGGTATAACAGAGGTACTTACCTCAGCAATCTTCAACACTGAACTCCCATTCAGCTCAAATGTGGAGGTATATGTTATACAGAGCAAGACCTTGAATCAGAGGAGAGGGAGGGAGAAAAAAAAACAAAACATGTTTTATTAATTATTGCCTCCCTTCCCCACCCACATGCTTTTAGCCATAGCTTCTTCCATTTTAGAGCAGACATCAGAAGCTTCCCAGCAGCAGGTGTTACTGGAATAAAGGAGATGGCACAATCAAGTTGCTTCCCCAAGGAAGGTGCAACTGCTGGCCCCAGGGGTACAGCACAACAGATTATTTATTGCTGTCTCCTAAGTCTGACCATGGAAGGAAAGACAACCCAGTGATCAACTCTGGCCTTGGACTTGATAGCCAGAATCCATTCTTATCTTAACCACAAGTTTTGCATGATTTATAATCAGGCCTTCCGTTAATTTCTATCAGTATAATAAAGGAGGAATTAAAAATGCATACAATACAAGTTATTACTTAGGTGACATAGATACATATGTAGTCTGTGAAACATTTATGAGTATTTCCCAGCCTAAGATCATAGAATCATAGAATCAT